AAAAGCAACATTTGCCACAATGTTCCAGCCTATATCGAGACAAAGTAGGCAGATAACAACGCCACAGACCAAAAGGATGGGGTGGATCAACTACCTCGACACCAGCAGCTACTCACCCGCCCCGCTTCATGGTGGGTGATATCTGCAGACATGTCCAACTTCCTATCCCTGTCTTCTGACTCACCTGCCGACGAAGGCCGAGTTTTAGAATTGGAGTTACTCGGCATAGAATTGGATACAACAAGAATGTATAAACATTTTGCAACAAATTAAATATATTCAGCGATTTCAACAATGAGATGGCAAGAAAAGTATTGAGGGTTAAATTTCTGTGAACTGCATAATTAGTAGGCCATACTTCTGGGTTGAGTTACTCTTGGCCGGATAATACGAACTGGGTTTCCTAGACTGTCGCGAATAAACTTTTTTGAAGCATTATCCTTCGGAACAACTAGACGGCATTGTGCATAGTTTCCACGATTCTTTTCGTAGTGGTAGCTTGAACTGGTTTCCGTATCAGTGCATCCTAATTCGGAGAACAAGTCGATGTGAGAAGAGTAACTGCTAGAGTAGTCTGAATCCTCAGTGCAGACGACACGTCTCTCCACTGACGGTACTATTCTGTGCTCTCTTTGTCTCCATCTAGGCTTTCCAAAAACTTTCATTCTTACTTGTTCCATACTACTTCTATCCGCCGAATAGGTTTTTCGCATATTCCTCGCATATTTCCTCACGTTCCCATTTACTCTTGGAAGACAGAGATTCGGTAGTGAGCGCGGGTCTTGTTCAGTGGCATCCTTTCTTAGTACCTCCATTCCTGATTCCTTTCCTTCTTGCTGGGTACCATTTTCATTCTTACAGTTTCGAGCATTCATAGCCCCGTTTAAACGGCACAGCACCTTAGCGTAGTCGTCAGCAGTCTTGAATTTCATTGTGGCCAAAGAGCACTTCGCTTTTTCCTTACAATCACTGCTCAAAACAAGCACTAAATTCTCTTCAGATTCTCGCACTTCTCTCACATTGTCAAACAATATCGCCTCCTTTTGATCTTGAAACTTTATTTGGTCTTTGTAGAGTTGCAAGGTGTAATTTCTTGGCTTTGATTTGATTGCTCCTTTTAGCCGCTTTTCCATGACCTTTTGCAGCATTTTGACTTTTCGTTTTTCGCATTTCAAATGGAGCAGAGAGATGATAAACTCCGGTTTCTCCATACGGCCCCAATTGAAGTGTGACTTGCCCGCGTGAGTATTTTTTGTCGGTTTGGAGAATGAGAGACCAAATCGCAAGCCTAACTGCCTATTTGCTTCATCAGCTTTCCCCTTGGCGTGTGGGCGGATGCGTGCACACGCTCTACCTTTCGGCGTGTGCAAATCCAAGACGACAGAATTACCTGCGCTTGACAGTCACTGTCCCACCATCGTTTGTCAAATCACACCAGCGTGCCACCCACCTCTTCCTGCATGTCTGCTTCACCGTCATAGAAGACATGAAGCTTTTCAACCACTTGTAATTGTCTCCCACAGCGAAGACATTCACCCGCACGTTGAAGCTGCACTTAGTAGTGCTGGGTGGAAAGAAAACCCTCAATTTTGGTTGGTTAATTATTAGCACCTTAAAAGTGTTTAAAGATGTTTTCGTTTGCAATCTTCCCCAAACTCACACACGCGTGCACCCACTCACACCGCCATGCATGGCACAGCACAGGAAATACTTACCCAGTCAAGGCTTTGAAGGTTGACGAATCTGCTAAATAAATTATTTGGGATGACTTTTAATGACGAGTCCCAGTCGCAGTGCAGTTTATTCACCATAGCCACGAATTTCTTCTTCTTTGTCTCCTTTTAAAAAGAGCTTGTAAAGGAACTGTTCCATCCAATTCTGAGAGGTCCAGTCTGTCGTAGAAAACTAACAACTGCCAAATGCCATGCGCATCTGACAAGTAGGTGGCGTTCGTAATTTTGCTGTCAGGGAGCAAACCGCATGTATTACGTCCCATTCAACACGCTGTGACAAAAAGTAGAAGTGTGCGGCATGATAGAGGAAGACTTAGAAATTATCGTGACAAATTTGGTCAAACGGGGGTGTATCCAGCCTTGGCGTCAAAAGTGAGCTGTGCTAACTGTGACATTTTTTTCGAAATTCCAACAGCTTCTTGTATCAAGGTGGGTCATCAAATGCGAGTCTTCTAATGTGTTAAAAGATGACCCATAAGTTCAATGAAGTCTGAAAATTTCCATAAAATGGCGAGCATTATGGCAAACGATATTCACACTTATCATGTTAAGATTCACAGTAAAAGTTAATAAATATTTGCCATTGTCAAGTTGTCAGTAGAGTGTACAACATCCCTCGAGTAGCTCTTTCCTAAAGAAGTACATTTGAGCAACAGACCCTCTCAATCTTCAAACTAAGAGGATCTTTGAAAGTAGAATTGACTCTGTGGCTGGACCACGTTGGGTGTTTGCTTTAAGCTGGATGTGAGCA